ATTTCAATACAAAAGGAATTTCTCACATGAGCTAAAAAAGCTTTATCAGTTTTGTTGCAATTTTCTCCTGAAATGAATTAGGCTTCTCAAACCTAAATAACATAAAAAATAAGAAGTGAGAAAGACTATGCTCAACTGAAGACAAAATGGGGGTCTGCTTATTGCACATTCAACCAAACATTGAAGAAATTGCAAATAAACACCAGGCACAGGTTTCACACTAATCAAGCTACACAAATAGTTGAATAAAAACGTTAAAATAAAGTAATTTCATATTTGTCTTTGTATCTTTTTTTTTTTTTTTTTTAAATTGGTTTTATTTCATAACATTTAAATGTATATCCTTTAAATCTTTTGCGAAGTGCGCCATGAAATTTTCATTTGTTCCTAGGTGTGCCATTGCTTAAAATGGTTGAGAAATACTGGATTACTAGTTCAATAGCTGTCTCTGAGCCGATGGAAAAAGGATCAAATTTCATATTGAAATTGTTTGTCCATTTAAAATACTGCATTTATCAGAAAATACATTCAGTCCATAAGTTTAATGATAACTGTTTCTTTTCTCACACTTCTTTCTTCCCAGTCAACTTTGATCTTCAAAAATTTAAATGCAATGTGAATCGTTATCTTCTGTCTTCTTAATTCCTCTTCTTTTATTGTTCTCACTCTTTAGTGTTTATTTTTTCTTATATTCTTTCACACTCAATAACCCCTAGCTGCTTAGTGGCTTTATTACTTTGGTTGGGGTGAAATGATTTAAAATTTTTTTTAAATACATAAAGAATCATAAAAATGACTTCAAAGGGTTGTACATTTCAGTTTATATACTTTTCTTGTTACCCAGAAATTAAACCTCCGACACAAATGTCCATTTCAGTTGCATTCAAATTGCGTGTTTGTGTGCATATTTTCATTCAATGACACACCTAAAAATATTTCTGCAAAATTAAAAAAAGATTTAAAAAAAAATAATTCTATTTATAATGGAATAATTAAAAAAAAAAAAAAAAAAAAAAAAAAAAAAGATCTTTTCTGTTAATTCACCTCGAATAATGTAAAGTTACTTATTGCAAATATTAATTTACCCCAAGAAATTATAAATTTTAAATTGTGAAACAAAAGAATGTTTTATATACTGTGTGTCAGAGAGAACAGCCTTCAAATTATTGGACACAATCTGAAGCTGTATTTTACCTGGGACTACGATTATATCAGGTTGTTGGAAAGGATACAAGTCTTTGCCGGATGTTCCCAAGAACAGTATGAATTTTGTTAATCCAAAAACAGCTCACATGCAAACAATCAAAAGTACCTGGCAGAATGCCAAAATGATTAAGTCCACACTTGTTTTCTTATTTGTGTGAGTTCCTTTGGAGACGTAAGGCAAACAATGAATGCATTTTTGAACAAATTTTAATGGCCATATCTGAATTTGGGTGTGAATTTTAGTAAATATAAATTCTTTTTATTTTGGCATGAATTAACAGAAAAGATTTAAAAAAAAAAAAAAAAAAAAAAAAAAAATTATCTAATTTTAATTGGGGGGGGGCAAAATTTTTTTCTATCTCCAGCATAATGATTCTATTGCTTAGCCCAGGGTAGGAGTTGTTCAGATTGAATGGGAGGGGAGTGTATTACTACAACATCTCATTTCAAAGTCAGTCAAAGTGTGTGTGTGTGTGTGTGTGTGTGTGTGTGTGTACACAAATAAAATGGCACAAACACATGCATAGTGTGTGAGGGACAGAAAATCAGTTCTTTTATATCCTATATTGCCCTAAAGATAGTTTTATGACGAGAAGCCTTTTCAGATTTTAAACAATTCCCCGAGAGAAAAATTAAAAAAAAAAAAAAAAACTCTGGTAACTGAGATGACAAAAACAAAAAACCTGTCTCTTTCTTAAAACAAATTAAAAAGAAGGAAAAGGGAAAAAAAAAATGGAAAAAAGCAGTAACTGTTGTTTTAGAAAAGTCAGGTTCAGGTGACTAGACAACTGAAAAGCAAGTCAAAACATTAATAAAAAAAAGAAAAAAATTTCAAAGACATGAGTCATGTAGTTTTAATAGATTTCTAACTGGGTAAGGAGAAGTAATGATCACAAAGGTCAATATCTCTTGACTATTTTTGTAGTTTTCTTTAAGAGACAAATTTATTTTGTCACTAAATTAACACTGACAAAGCCAATAATATATCTTACACTAATTCACCATCTTTTTTGTTTGTCATTCTGTAAGTCAAGGACAGGGCTATGGTCGCCAAATTTTCTAGAGTTATTAATTATAGGACCTCAGTGATAAATTTAACTATTAGTTATCAAACATTTTTAATCTTTTAAAGTTTTTACCAAGGGGATTGACTAGCTAAACTGAATCTTATGTCTTTGCTTAAATGACCTGAAAATTTCCCAGCCATTTTTTCATTTAGCATGCTGTACGTAGGTGACTTCATTTGTCAAACAAAATGTTCGTAGAACCACTGCATGCAACTGGGATCATCAAACAATATTGTGGTTGAAATTTGCACTAGTGTTGTCATAGCCTACTGTAGCAACGGGAAATGACTAACTGAAAACTGAAGAAGACGCTACTGCAGTTGTGTGGCCACTTATATCCAATGGATGAAATATTAATATTGCAGAGTGCTAAAGGTTAACTGATTTTTTTTCCAGTCACCAGAATATCAAGGTTTACAAAAACTGTGTTGTTGCTGATGTTGTATTTGTAGTATGAGCAATGGGACCCATGGGGCCATAAATGTTAACCTCATTGCATAAAAATATCACCTAATATCATATGATAAAAATTCAAAAGAATGTCATGCCACTTACATAGTAGCAAACCTCCCCCCATTCCCTCTGTATACCATCAGTTTGAGTTAAGTTCCACTCAAACAGCTCCTTCCTGCTAACAACTGCTCTGTGGAACAGACTCCCAAGAGGATGTTTCCCTAATCAATACAATCTTAACTTGTTCAAGTCTAGAGTCAACCATTATCTTCCCCTCCTATTCATATAAACTACCTATTATTGTAACCCTCTACCTTGAGTGGCCCCCAGGCCTGGTAAAGGGTGAACATTACTGCAAAATTTTTTTTTTAATTTTCCATAAAATGCAGGTATTTGAAAACTTCTAAAATCCTCCCCTTAGATATTTAGATGAAAATATGAGCAAAGAAATTGATAGTTTATTTTTTAAAATGCCATATCCCTTCAGGGCGTAAGCAATCACAATTCTCCATAGATTCTTCTTCTTCTCACAATTATTATTATCTGAGAATTGCCATGAATTCTTGGAAAAGACAGTGAAGTCGGTTTCCCCAATGTCTTTTCCATGGTTGGTTGTCTTTGTCTAGTGGCATAAAAACGTCTATGGGTAGTATGTATGTGTGTATATATATATATATATATATATGGTGGACTCTCCCTTCATATTCAATGTATGAAAGCTTTGTGCAGAACCAACCACACTTTTTGAAGGGCTGATACAGAGACCTGGTGCACTACTTGCCAGAAGGTCCCCAAACGACCCTCTACAGGTTTTGAATTCAAAATTGTCCTTCGCCTAGACCAGTTGCCATCCAAGGCTATAGAACCCGGGTCTGTCCTGCTATTTATCCATACCTGGAGGGAGAAGAAAAGGATTAATACCTTTCCCTAGGGTATTTGTGTGTGTGTGTGTGTATATATTTATATATAAAAAAAAAAAAAAAAAAAAAAAAAAAAAAATCAAAGAGGTTTTTCTTCAAAATTTTAGAGAAAAAATATTTCTTTAGTGTGATCGCACCTAGAATTTTTTAATTTGATGATTTTTAATTGGGGATTACACTGAGGTTTTCTTTTCGAAAATAAATAAAATAATGTCAAAATCAGAACCCAAAAGAAAAGTTGAAACAGATGCCAATATTTAACATATGGCTCATTTTTAACATTTTTATTTAAAAATTTCATCATGGCCAATTTGTTTGTCGAGTTGATTTCTTGATATTATTGACACAGGGAAACAATCTCAGCTCACATCACCTTTGGAAAGTGCCTGAAAATCTCATCACGTGTTAACCTGGGCTTTGTGAATGGAATTGGGTTAATAGAAGCTTTAGGAAGCTGTTGTTGGTTGTGCGAACACAAAGTCACAAGTCATTGTGACCAAGCATTTGAGTAAAAGCTGATCATTACATGCACACACACAGCTTCGGGCAGAGTGTGACTCAGTTGTTGCTCTGTCTATGGACAGAGACACAACTTGGGAAAATAAAAACTGTGAGGTGCTTAGTCCCAGGTAATCACTTCCTCTGCCCAATTGCCCTCAAGAGTGAGATCAGTAGTCATACCAATGCCAGTACAAACAATGGTTGCAGGGACTGTGCAATGTTTGTCCTTGGCCTAAGTGTACACATTTGTGTTCCCTATATTAAACCAGATCTTGTGTCACATCTCATCTCGGTGGGGAGACCAGGGATTAATAACTACACACCCTCAGCTTGTCTTGTGAGTTATGAATAACCATAATGATCAACCAAGTTGTAGCAGATTGGCAAATAGGATTGTACCTATTTATGTTAAGTAAAAGAGATAAAGTGTATAAGAAACTAAGGGACAGGCAAAAAGTTGACTATTGATTACATGTCATAATACAACACAATTATAACACAAGACTTAATCCTTATCTAAAAAATATATTGTTCTCATCTTCATTAAACATTTTAGGAAGATTTATGAACCAATGTTTTCAGCATAAGCTGCATTGTTTATTATTATTATTATTAGATATGAATAATATATTTTTTCTTTTATCAGCACAAAGTGGAATTACCAGGCAGAATTCAAATTCTAGCCTAGGTTATGGCATTCACTTTTGCACAAATGCTTTTGGAAAAAGGATGAACCCCTCTGTTCTCCCCTCATCTATGGGTTAAACATCAGAGTAGACTTGTCTCTCTAGCCTTGAGTGACAACTAGTCTGAGAGAAGTAAAAGTGAATTCCTGACTATGGAGAAGGCTTATGGCCCCATCATGTTGAAACATCAGTTCCCATAGGTTCATTGAAGTTAAGCAATGTAGAACCTGGTTGATACCTAGATAGGTGACCATTTGGGAATACCAGGTGCTGTAAACTTGGATGTGCAAGTGGTGTAATAAATGATGGCCCAGAATTGTTAATCAGAGAACCGAGTTCTAATTCCAGTTGGGTTGGCTTATGCACAAATACACTTGAGGAAGGTATGAAGCCACATCTTCTCCCCCAGCTATAAGTTAATTAGTAAGATTTGTATTTCTAAGCCATTATTATCTAAAAGATAAATAAATAAAATAAAATTGCATACAAAACATTTAGATTTCGGCATTAAATTACCATACATATATACACACAAGTTTCATTAAAGATGACTCACAAGGTACTACAATTAAACCTTTTATTTTTCTTGTGTTCTTATGAGTGTCTCCTTTTCTGGGCATAAAGTGTGTAAAATATCTCAAAATGGTCTGCATATCCAAACATATTGAACAACATAAAAAAAAAAAAAAAAAAAAAAAAAATATTAAATTTAACATATGGTCCCTTTTTTGAATATTTGCTTCTGAACTTCCGTACAAAATATGTAATAATTGTAAAAACGATAGAAAAATAAAAAAAATAAAGTTATTTTAAAAAATGCTCACGCTCAAAAACGGCATTTAAACTTTACATTAGATTCTTCAAAAATGATTTTAAGATGCATTTTTAAAGTTCATAGACATGAAATCAGCGACCATGCCAATGATTTAAGTGTCTATAAACATTATATTTGTAAATTTATTTTTTTAATTTTTTTTTCACAGATTACCTTTATTTATTCATTCAGGAATACCTATAATAATTCATACAATGTGATCGATTTAATTAACAATGAAGACATTAAAAATTTATACCATGTGACAGATTTGACAATGAGGCAGTCAAAAATTTATACATTCATGAGAGAACCATCTTCTTTATAAACTTTGTAAATAAAGTAGTTAAAAATTCATGCTTTTACATACAGCACCTTGATGAGTGAATAAGAATGACAAAAAACGTGCCGATGCTTTAAAAAATGCCTAAAAAATTTTATATATGGAAATTATTTTTCTTTTCATTTGGATTAGCTTTAGGCTTTTTTATTCAGTGATTCCCAAACAGTGCAATACGCCTCAGAGGTGCAGCAGGAGAGGATAGCAAGATTGAAAAACAATCAAGAATCAAGATTCAGTTTCAAAAAATTCATATGCCAAAAATAAATATGATTTCAAAATTTAAAATATTATTATGGATTATTATTGTAATTGCATGGATGAGTCCCAGTATAAAAAGTTTATAAATAATTATTGACCTATTTTACAGTTTTCCACGACATGCTATGATTTTCACTTCTGACAAATATCAAAAAAGGGAAAGTCTTCTTTGTGTTGATCAGGATATAAGAGTTGTTTATTTCAAATTAGGCGTAAGGATATTACTCATCAAAACAAAGCTCATACCTTTCATTAATTTTTTTGTGTACTTTATAAGTTATTTTTGTGTTATTTAACAAATTAACATACTAGTAGTTTATTTTTATTTTAAATTACTAAAATTTGAGACCTGAGCAAATTTTAATTCCGAGAATGTGGGCCAGAGAAAAATCTTTAAAATAGAACAGAAATCTAAGTTTAAAGAGGGCATTAAAAAAAAAAAAATTCTGATATTTTTAGGTCCATGGTGATACGTAATTTATTGATGAATAAAATAAAAAATAAGTAAATAAATTTAAAAATCTCTTTAAAAATACAATATTTGTTCTGATGTTTAATAAACAATCAACTGGATTTTCTAAAAGTAATGCTTGCCTTTTACTTTTAAAACCGAATGAAAAATAACGTTTTATTTGCACACAGTAGCCTGTGAAAGGACAAAATGAAAAATGTGTAACTGTAATCCCATTTCTGTCCCAAAAAGTACGCGAAAAAGTTAAACTAACCAAAAAAAATACGGAACACCAATAGTGCAATAATCAATTTGTTATTTATATTTAAAGATTTTTTTTTTTAACTAAACCAATAATTTTATGAATAAATTTGAAGGCACTACCTAAACAAAAATTTAGTGTAAAAAAAAAAAAAAAAAAAAATGAAATTTGCGTTAGATTAATAAGTGAAAAGAAAAGAAAAGTAAATTTGGATCTTTTCTGTTAATTCACCCCAAAATAATGTTAAAATTATTTGAGACATGATGGAATAATGGATAGTGGCTTGGATAGAGGAATCGGGGAGCCGAGTCGAATCCCTTACTTTCACTTACGTGCTAAAAATACTCTTCCTTGGAAATCGTACGAATCCTCTTTTTCTCTCCCCCCTCACCATCAGCTATGGGTAAAAATAGCAAGACAGACCAGGTTCATGTCAACTGGTCTACCGCAGAAAGAAATGGCAACCTGTTGCGGGGAAAAAATCTGCCTCGTCAGTCATGTAGAAAAATACATGATCGTCTAAGAAGCGTGTAACACGCATGGTACATAAATGATCACAAATATTAATTCACCCCAAGAAATCATAAATTTTTAAATCGAAATTTGTTTAGCTTGCTTTGCAAGAATTCAACTATCAGAATGAAAAATTAACTAAAATCGGAGAGTTATTCACATTTCCTAAGTGCGGTGATATTCGAGGTACTTAAAGGAATTGTTATAAATTATTATTATTAATATTAATAATAATAATAATAAATCTGTTTTTGGCTTGTTTATCGAGGTGAATGCGAACGCAGACCCAAAATAGCGCACCTAGTCACCCACATTTGGAGCGATCGCAAAATCAACCCAACCGGTGTGTAATCTCGCTCTAAGAGAATCTGGTGTGAGTTTTAGTAAATTAAATATAAATTCTTAATATTTTGGGGTGGTTTAGAAAAAATTAAATTTAAATGTTAGAAAAATTACAGCATAAAGTTAAAAAGTATTCTTTTTTATGCGAATGAAAGAGAAATAGTTTCCTTGTAATTGGTGTCGAGGTGAACAAATTATACAGGAAAAAAAATACAACAAATATTTGTTAAATTAAAAATACTTCAAAAAGAACAATTTACACTGAATTAATGAAAAAAGTATTATTATTAGTTCGTTTAAATGCAGGGAAAGTGAAACAAGCGAAAACAAACAAGCACCATAACGATCGATCAAAAAAAACAATGCTTTCCAAAACAAAAAAAAAAACCCAAAAAACTGACTCAATGAATGGAAGATAAAATTAGATGAATGAATCATTAATACTCCACCGATGTTGGATAGTAGACAGTTAATGCAAGATATTAGAATTATTTCCTTTCTGTACATCCATTACAGATCTAACCGTTGCTAAATGGAAAAAATAGAATTAAAATTTTTAAAAAAGGTTCACGTTAAAAAAAATGACATTATAATAAACTTTACCAAACTTTAATTATTTAAATCTTCAAACATGTCTTTTTAAACTCTTGCAACGAACAGCAACAGGACCAACACAAAAAGAAAAAAAAAAAGTGGAGTTTTATATGGAATTGTTTTTGGCAAGATACGGGCTGAATTTTCTCACTGTGTTCAGTTCACACTATATTGCATAAATTCTTTACTGAAATAATTAAATGAAATGGATTTCTTTTTAACTTTTAAAAAGAAAATTCAATGAGCAACACTCACGAAATTAAAACGCACACACGCGATATCGACAAAAAAAAGGGAGCTGAAACGTACGTTACAAAAAATCTCCAAAGGTTTTTTAATTTAAAATGTGAATGTCATTGTGTTACTATTTTTCAATTAAAGGGACAACTCTGTAATTTTCATTAGCTCATGTTTTTCTATATAATAATAAATGCGAATGTCAGTGTGTCACCGTATCACACTTTTTCAACTTTACTCCTAGAGGCGATATAGCCCAACATATTACCATTTTGGAATCAGGCCAACTCCGTGAGCAAATTAAAAGCATTCTGGGCAAGATCCGGACCCAAAATCCTTAAATTTTGGATTCCGAAGTTTTCACTGCAATTGTTTTCAGCGTTTTTTGTACGTGATTTTGAGCGACAATTTTTTTTTTGTACGATAACAATTTTTATAACTTGGAAATAAATTGGGGAATAATCAAAATTAATTGCGAAATCAAGCGAAAGTAAGGACCTACGTACATCAAACTGTCTTTAAGTGGCGGCAGAGGAATTATCGTTGAACTTTTAAAGGGTAAGCTTAGATATTGATGCAATTCCTTAAATGCAGCGATCAATTTTGAGTTCTTCGGTAGTTTATTGTTGTCTATCGCATCTGGCATTTCATCGCAAGAAGAAATCTCCACCAACAGAGGACCAAATTTCAATCAAGAGCTAAGGCTGCAGCGAGGAAAAAGAACGTCCCGTGCAAATGGGAACCCAGATCAAACTGCAGCCGGGAGAGCTTCCAATGCTGAGAATATGCAAAGATTTTAGGGAGTCTCAAACTCCTGAATAAGCCAAATGCCCATTCAAGAACACTTTGCAGAAGCTAGCTTAAATGCTGCCCGATAGGGCGGCTTTTAAGTTAATTAATGAATACGCCCTGAAATTGTCATTTGAATCAGATAATTCTTTCATTTTTAAAATATTTTAAAACTAGGTGTCACATTTTTGCTTTCATTGAGGAAAAAATATCTATTTTGGATGGTACCTGGTTATTTTATTAAAAAAAAAGAAAAAGTTTTAGACTTTGGAGAAATTTGGGTGTTTGTTTTTTCGCGTGTCTCTGTTTTCTTGCATTTATTTTTTACATTTACAATCTTATACATGAATAACCAATAAATATTACTTCAATTTCAGTTAAAACGTAAGTTGTTATTTTAAAAAATCTTTACTTTGTCTTAAAATTTTCCTGCATAATTACTAATTAGTTTCCTTCGCCACCAAGAAAATTTTCAGAATTGAGATGAAATTTCATTCGAATAAGAATGTTATACTGCAATTTTTTCTAAAATTTACTTAAAATAAAAAAAAAATGTTTTCACATTTCAGTTTTCAAAATAGAAAAAAAAAAGTGTTTTCAACTATGGCAAAATTAAAAAAAATAATAATAATCTATTAAATTTTAAAATTTACTTTTTAGTTATTTGGGGATTTTTAAGAAAAAAAAAATCTTTATTTTTATTTGAAATCCGCTTTAATAAGTGACCGAGTGTCCCTTTACAGCAACTGTGGTAATTTGTGACGCTAAAAATGGCATTCCTACAATTTTCTTTTTTAATGTTTTTTTTCCGGGTATCGTTCAAAAATTACGGATGAATTATTTTTGGATTTGCAATTCTACCACGGATCTGTGCGTTCTGTGAAAAAGTTTCATACATTTCCAATCTTTTTTTTTTTTTTTACCTATCTGTTCTTTTCCAAATAACAAAAATCTAGTTACAGGAGAAAATGCATAGACCAAGTAGAGAAAACAGAAAAATATATCAAATAATAAAATTAAAAGTAAAACTTAAGCCTTAAGTTTTAAGGAAATGAGAAATCGGTAGAGAGTGGCTTGCTGTCTAGTCGGGTAACTTTAGAAAGGAAGGAGGGCAACATAAAATAACAACAGTGAACTCTAAAAAACAAAACATCTATTCTGACTGCCTAGCAAGAGAGCAAATTACTTTATTTTAGTTTGTTCACCTTTTAACCAAAAACTGATTTTTCAGATAGGTTGGTATTTAAATACCTCGGATTGAAGTATTGCTTATCGGGCTTCTAAGATCAGAGTGTATGGAATACAGATGGTACACATTGTCATTACATTTCATGAGTTTGTATTAAAAAAGCCTCTTCTTGCAAATAAAATTCACATTGTTGTTTAAAACGCCAATTAATTTAGTGAATAATTATTTGAACGTCTACAGTACACGAACGGATTCAGAGTTAAAGGAAAGCCAAGTTTAAAGTTGGGGTCCCTAGCATACATAGCACTAGACACCAAAAATCATCCAACATTCCTGGCACTTTCACTTTTGGGAGACGCCAGGTAATGACCCTAGCCTACTCCAGAAGATCGGACATTGTATGAGGGCCGGGGATACTCCGAGACCGGGCTTAAATAGCTTATTTTGCTATTAACTCGACCGCTATGTTTTCTTTTGATCTGTCTTTTCGGTACGATGTGATTCAACACGTGGTGATGATATCAACATCACATTCTTGCAGTTTGATTAAATAACAAATTACAATCATATATTAAAAATGAAATTCATATTATTTTCTTTCAAATTAGAGATCTTTTTTTTTGTTTTTTTTCTTTTTTGCATTCAAAAATCTTTCTCAAACTATCCAGCACAAAAACACGTGTTGTTCAACCGATAAACGTTGCGCAAAAGAAAATGAAGACAAGACTTAACAGTTGGGAGAAGTTATAGGATACAACATTTTAGATAATAAATGTATACGGCTATAAATTACTACACTCCATTAGAATATTAATTTAATCTGAAAAATATACAAAAGTAGCTTAAATTCTTTGGAAAAGCGTGCGAACAAACTTACCTTCCGCCATCTTGACTAATCGATATAACAAGAGACGAAACTAAGCGAAAAATTAGTTTCACTTCCGGGTTGTATTCTCTACACGTGTTTGGAAATAGATTTCCGCGGGGTCTATATATGCACCTTTCGGGTTTGGGCGAGTGGGTAATAAACCTAATTTTAGTGGAAAGGTCAGTTTATCAGCTGTTTAGTGATTCTTCTTTTTGTTTTGTTTTTCCTCCCAGTTCATTCGCTAATATAGCTGCGCTGTCGCGTCTCAAGAAAAATAAATAAATTTTTTTACCCTTTTTTTTTTTTAAATGTCTGTTTTAATTACGTACAAAAACAGATCTTTTGCTACAAATTTTTACTTGTCCTTGCAACTTAAAACGTAAGTAATAAAAATTAAGCAAGATAATAAAATTAATGAATGCAGTTTAACAAGAAAGAGAGAAAAGAAAAAAAAAATTAAACTACCTTGCGGCAGTCTATTGGATTTTGAAAATCCAGAAAATATTTCGTAACTCTTTTTTTACTCTGCAGTCTGCACACTTTAATCTAAATAAAAAAAGCTTAAAAAATAAAATTATATAATTAATTATTAAATATTATTTACTGTAGTGGTGGTGGCTTCAGTTCTTTTACTTTTTTTGCTTGATGAGAAGTATCAAGCATTTAATTTTACAAATACTCCTTCGAAGTCCAAATGAACTGTTGAATTGATTTTTTTTTAGTTTATGTAAAAAAAAAATACTTTTTCAAGTAGTTTGAGAAAATAGATATAAAAATCACAAAAAGACGGAGCTAAATTTTTAAAATACTCGTTCACACGTCAAAAACGGGGAAAATTTTGGGAAAATTACAGAAACATTCCATTTTTTTTAATTTACAACACCCTCTTAACGCGGCACTTGTCAGAATCGAAGAATGTTGATTTTTTTATCGATTTAAAAAGGGATATCGCTATCCAGAGTTTTTTTTTTGGGGGGGGGATACAAAAATGATTTTAAAGAACACAATAATTGACAAACAATAATTTAAATTAAAAGTATCAGTGACTGATTCGTTTTTTCTACAGGTTATCAATCCATTGCAAGTTATTTAAAGCCAGAAAATATTTACACTATTTATATTATTCGGACCATTGACTCCATCTTTGTCGCCATATTTATTACAACATTTCGGTCGTTGTACGCTCCGGCTTTCTTCAGGTGGTTGGAATGTGGAACTGAACCCTTTATTTCGCTCACTGGAGTAGACTGATCTAGTTCCATGTGCCATGTCTAATGGATGTCAGTTATCAGTTATCTCCTGTTAATTCCCCTTTCCAAGTTCTCCACTGCCTTAACCGGGTATTGAACACACTCTTTGAGTCCTATCACTGAATCTAACTAACGCCTTTATCCACTGTGCCATGTGTCCTTGAGGTCATCTGTGTATAACGTTCTGGGTATTATAAACCTAATGTCTTCAGCAATCATTTTTTTACCAATACTCATATTACAATTTTTGCTGTTATGTTGTTGTTATCGCGTTTCTCTGGCACTCCTTATTACTGGTACCCATATTGTATTCATTTCTATGCTTGGTCGGCTCAGGATATTTTTGTGGCCTAGCATATGTGCTGATTCTTTAAGTTTACGAATTTTCCAATGGTGTTCATTGTTTATGATCTCAACCTGATTCCACAGAGGGCAGTGATCTCCACGCCTGATTTTTCCACTCCCCCTCGTGTTACAGCTTTCTGGTGTTCTTGAAGCCTTACCTTGAAAGGGCAATCTGTCTCCCCTTTATATTTATTTCCGCAGCTGCACGGGATAGCGTACACACAGTCTTTAGTCATGTTCTCCTCTATGGGGGGGGGTCTTACTCGGGAGAGATATCTGCGGAGCGTCGTCCAGCTTTTGAAGGTTGTCTTGATGTTATATGGACCGCAGATCCTTTGTATTTTCTCTGATAACCCCTTCACATAAGGCAGGCAGACTGTTTTCTGAGTGTTGTTGTCCTCCTCCTCTTGTACCCGCCTATTCCAGTTTTGGGGGGCTGCTGCTGTGTACCCAGGGTAGTTGTTATGTTGTAGGGTAATACTTATACTAACCAATTCTTTATCTAATGTCTCTGGGTCGCCACTTATGACTTTTGCTCGGTGTTGTAAGCAGCAGACAATCCCTTTCTTTACGCTGTATGGATGGTGGGAGTTGAAATTGAGGTACTGTCCGGTGAATGTAGGTTTACGGATGTCTTGAACCCTTACTCTCTTTCTCCATTGTGAACTGTATCGAAGGTCTTATTGAGTTCACATGGTCCAGTAGAACCTGAACCTCTTCCTGGTGTGGCCAGAGTATGAAGGTGTCATCTACGTACCTTAACCATAGAGTTGGTTTTAGAGAGATAGATTCTAATGCCATTTCCTCAAAGTATTCCATGTATATATTCGCCATTGCCGGTGATAATGGCGAGCCCATTGCTAAGCCCTCATCCTGTCGATATATGTGTGATCCCATTCAGAAGTGTGTTGTTTGTGTACAGAAAGTCAACATCTCCATCAGATTATCTATTGGAATACTGGTCCGTTCTTCTAGGGATGAGTCAGAGACCAATCCGTCTCTGACTACTCCGTAGGTACCTTGGTGAACAAATTCACCACGTCCAAGCTCACCATCTGGTTAGATAGGATGGGAGCATCTTTGATTATTTCCACAAAGTGGGCGGAGTTTCGGACATATGAAGGAGACTTTCCGGTCAATGGGTCAATTATATCTACAAGGAAGCGACTCAGAGGGTGGCACACAGAGCCTTGGCAACTAACAATCGGCCTGTGCGGAATACCGTCTTTGTGAATCTTAGGGAGTCCGTATATGTGAGGTAGCTTGGTGTAACGCTGCGATAACTGCCTATACGTTTTAGGTGCGAAGTGATCCTTGTTCTTGATTAGGATTCTTGACAGTTTGCGTTCCATTTTCATTGTAGGATCCTTTTTTACTTTGCTGTAGCGACCATTGCTCATGAGGTCTTCCAGCTTTCCTGTATAATCTGATTTGTCCATCACTACAGTCGCATTGCCTTTGTATGATGATGTTTTCGTTCCTCTGCAGGGATCCGATCGCCAGCCTCTCCGGTTTCGTGATGTTCGACCTGGGCAGCTTGGCCTTCTCCAAGGTCTGTCTCACCTTCCATTTCAGTTCATCCGCCTGAGCCTGAGAGAAGTTCAAGGCCACCTCCTCGACTCTGGCAATGATGTCCAAGTAAGGCACTCACCTGAGCGTTGTGGCGAAGCTGAGACCCTTATTCAATACTGGCTCCTCAGAGCTGATATTGGCTGATGTTGATTATCGCTTTCACTGGTAGGTGATGGACCTTGTGCGTCACCTTCTAATCTTTCAATCTGTTTAATTTTGTACTTGGCGAGCCTTGACTACATCGAATTCATATCTGAAGGATTTATCCAGGTCATTTTGGATCCTTCTCTGGTCTTCTTCAGTGGTAATTCTGTTGCAATATGAGCTCTGGTAAAAAAAAACAAAAAAAAACATGTAATGATAACAGCAAAAATTGTAATATGACCACAGGTAAAAAAAATAGTGCTGAAGAAATTAGGTTTATAATACCCAGAAATTTATACACAGATGTCCTCAAGGATGGCACAGTGGATAAAGGCGTTGGTTAGTGACAGCACCCAAAGAGTGTGAGTTCAATACCTGGTTAAGGCAGTGGAGAACTTGGAGAAGGGATTTAATAGGACATCTATTCAACATGGAACTAGAACGATCTACCCCAGTGAGCAAAATAAAGGGTTCAGTTCGACATTCCAACCACCTGAAGAAGGCCGGAGCGTACAACAGTTGAAGCGTTGTAATAAATATGGCGACAAAGATGAGGATAATAATAATGTAAATAGTGTATATAAGACCTCATCTCAGAAATATAGACAGATACAGAAAATATTTTTATTGTAAGATTTTTTAGAATGGTTTTAGTGATAAGTCTCACTAAAATTAACTCATAGATTGGGGGAGAGGTGGTTTCATACTTTTCTCACGAACCAACGAGAATTGGAAATCGGAATTAGCAAGTATATGTATTAAACAACAAATTTACAAGTGACAAAGATGTCAACATTTGTGTTTGCGTGTGAACGTAAAGAATTTGTATGTTGGTGAAAGTTCGTACGCACGTCTATGCGTGTTTAATGTTCACGGCGTCTTCCCACAAGTGGGGAGACGCTATCTCCTAAGAGACCTTACATTGTAGATGTGTTCGCTGAAATGCAAAGTGAAGCAGAGAACGAGGCATGAAGTTGCCCAGTATTTATAGTGTAGGAAGAGCGACCCCTAGTGTACAATCAGGGAATTAAAGAGGAGCTAACTCCAACAGATTAATCCACTTGATTAACAATGGTTTTGTTACGTACCAGTGTTTCTCAATTTTAACAAAACTTTCAATGCTTCAAAAATGTTGTATATACAATACATAAAACATTGAATACTAAATGTTTTCCAAATGCCTACTTTATTTCTTAGACAAAGAAATAGGAAAGACAAGCCAAGTTACGTGACCGTAACAACTTTATATACATACGGAGCTTTCTTGGCCTCTTTTTTCCCCCAGGATTACGTGCTGTAATTAAGTTGTTGGTTGTTTTACAATAATAAAACTTTGGCCTTTTTATTAAGAACTCTGCCTTTGTTGTAACTCAGTTTTCAGTGTCAATATCTTCTTGTATATTTCTTATTTTTGATTTATGTGGCAACCCCTCTGCGGGCTGCTTCACATAAATGACAATGACATTATGTCGATTTGTATAAGTGTAACCTGGACGTATGTCAACTTTTTTTACTACTGTGAATCGGACCTATATTCACTTTTTTTTTTTTTTACCGGACCTATGGCTCTTTTATTTTTTTATTCACGTGTAAACTAGACCAATGTCTACTTTTTCGACTCTTAAAACCGAACGTGTCTACTTTTAAACTCGAGTGTAAATTGGACATTTGTCAACTTTTTTTTTTTTTTTACTCTGTGTAAACTGTACCTATGTTTTTGCCTTGTGTTTCTTTTGCTCGTCTCTCCATTTGTCTTAGAGTTCTGGTCTTTGGATTTTCCCATGGCATTTTGAAGAAATAACATTGAATTCCTCAAGTCATTTCAAAACATCATTTTAACTCTTTTTTGGACTATAAGTCCAATTTCGACCAAAATTTCGATTTGGGGTGGAACTTCGATTTGGGCCGAAATTCCAATTCAGGCCGAAAACTGAGTTCTTCAAATCACAAACTCTGCGGAACTTCAAAACCTCACGTCACGAAATCTCTCACTTTAATTTCGATTCCTTGGTAAAAAAAATAAAATTAATTTCCTCAATTTTATTCTCATGTAAACAAGATCTATGTTTAACACCTTCTTTAATTCGAATGTAAACCGAGCCTATGTCTACTTTTTTGTGTGTAAACTGGACCTATATCGACCTCTTGGGGTCTAGTGTAAAATCAGACCCATGTCTAATTATTTTACTCTCATGTAACAGGACCTGTGTCTATTAGTGTAAATTCCATCGATTTCTACCTTTTTATATTTTAGTGTAAATTGAACCTGTGTTTATCTTTTTTTTTAACTATACTATTACTTAAGCAGACCCATATCTACATATTCTACTTTTTAGAATTATTCAATCTATATCTACTGTTTTTATACTCTACTCGACTTATGAATGCTTTTCTGTTAATTCATTTAAGAAGACCTATATTTGGCATTAAATAATCCATTAATTAACCGATCTCAACATAACAAACACTGTAAGTTTTGTTCGTGATTTCGAAATGACAATATTCGAGAAGGTTCAACAAATTTATTTACCCGGTCGAAAATACGATGTAAGAACAGTAATCCACATATCTTACGTTACAAGTGTAATGTATCAAGATTTAACCAAAGTCACACCCATTCCAGCTTCCCCTCTCACAAAGAATTGGTGCAAAGTGCGATGTTGCTATGTTTAGCTTAACAACGTGCGAGAGCCCAACCACTCTGTCCAACGCACGGTGTCGCCAAGTTAACGATCACAGTTTCATTGTTTATGCAAAAATCTTGACAAGTTGACATTTGTTTTATCTTGTATACTGTCATAATATGATTTTTAAATTTTGTTTCGTCTGCTTTCACGATTCCCATTGTCAATAATAAGCTAGTGAAATAGCGTGGGAATTCATATTTAGATCCCCCAATATTTAAGGATGATTATTTGGGGTTATATTACTTTTGAGATTGACTGTAAATATGAGGTGTCACTACGGACTTCCTAAAAAAAAAAAAAATCCGAAAACACATTTTAAATATTTTTGAACATCAATATTGTTTTATGTGAAAAATAATAGTCTAAAAATCTAATTCGTATTAAAAGAAAAAAATAATTTCCATATAGAGTTTTTTTTTTTTACAATAAAAGTTCTTGCTATGCAAAGCCCAGGAGCCACTCGATGTAGAGGGTTAAAGAGTAAGAGGCACAGTTCGTGTAGATATGTGGGGAAGATAACGGCTAACCCTAGACTTAAGCAGGTTAAGATTGTAGTGATCGGGAAAGCATCCTCTTGGGAGTCGGTTACACAAAGCAGAAGTTTGACAGAAGAAGCTGCTCGAGTGGAACTTGTATCTTACCAATGGAATACGAATGTAATGGGGGTGGTTCACTACAATGGGCGTGGCAGGGTGGGTCTTAGCTGTGAAGGTTACAACTAGTAGAACAAAGAGATGTAGTTCGTCTGAAGACTTTCTATGGAAATAGTAATACAGTAGTGAAAGGTTGCAAACATTTCCGCAGTGGGAAAGAGGTTGTAGGGTGGAAATAATTAATCACCCATAAGGACATGGAAATGCTTTTGGACTTTGTCGTCACTGGAAAGTGAAGACTGTGCAGCTCCTGTCCATATATGGCATAGGTACTCCATTTTCAGTTTGATCTGACTCTTGTAAAGGTAGAGGGTAGCACGAAGAGTCAGATATCTGCTGTGGCTTTATAGGGAACCAACCATTTTTCCAGCATCTTTAGCGATGGATCGTATGTACGAGTTCCACTTTAGATCTGGGTTGAGTTTAAATCTCAATAGGAACTCAAGGTCCTCCCACCCCGGAGAAAACATCCATTCATCGCGATAGGCGAAAAATCTGGGTCCGCTCGATGATGATGGAGCGTCACTCATTTGGTTTTCGAAGCAGTGAATATGCCCAGCCAGTTTTTTCCCGACTGAGCTGTTAGAGCTCGAACAGAGGAGAGATCAGCTGCTAGGCTCTGGTCTAGAATTTTGGAGGTACAACCATACACCTTTCTATCATCAGTATAGATATTCAGAAAAGAACGGGCTATACACTTAAGCAGATCATTTATGTAAATTAAAACGAGAATTGGAACGAGAAGCGCGCGTTCATCACTCGGACAGAGGACTGTCTGTTGACAACTATCAGGTCATCCCATAAGTTCTGTCCGAATTTTAACTTTTTGTTAAAATGAACGAAATTTAAAGAGTATTTTATAATGTCTAATGGAGCTGAACATTATTTTTATGTTTAGATGCATTTAAACTGATCAAATTTTATTTTAGAGAACAATAACATTAAATTTTGTTTGATTAAAACCCTGCTAACATGGAAGTACCCAAGAATCATTTGAGGCAGATAATGCATTATGAGTTCAAGAAAGGAAACTCAGCAGCCGAAGCGGCTAGAAACATTCACTCAGTTTATGGAAAGGAATGTGTGAATGAAAGAGCTTGCAGAAGATGGTTTGCAAAATTCAGAGGTGGAGATTTCACCCTTGAAGATGAAGATCGAACCGGACGTCCAGTTGAGTTTGATGAAAAGCTTCTTGAAGCAACCCTTGAAGAAAATCCTGCTTTATAAGTTGAGGAATTGGCAGTGGTTCTCAGTTCAAACCATACAACTGTTCATCGTCATCTCCAACAACTTGGAAAAGTTCCTAAACTTGGAAAATGGGTGCCTCATGAATTGTCTGAAAACAACCTCAAAGTCAGAGTTGACATCTGCTCTTCTCTCCATTCTCGCCAACTTGTTTCACCTCTTTTGGATAGACTTGTGATTGGCGACGAAAAACAGATCTTTTATCGAAATGTCGTAGACAGTGGCTTGGTAATGGGGAAGGACTCCAAGCCACAGTCGAGAAGGGAACTTCATGGGCAAAAGGTTCTTCTTTCAATCTGGTGGGATCGCCAAGAAATAATCCACCTTGAATTCTTACCACCTAATGCAACAATTAATGCTCAAATATACTGTCAGCAATTAGAGCATTTGAACCAAGCTTTGAGGAAAAAAATGACCTGCTCTAGTGAATCGAAAAGAGGTGACGTTTTATCAGGACAATGCGCGACCCCACAAAGCAAGAATCACGTCACAAAAGATCGAAGAACTTGGTTGGGAGAAAATTCCTCATCCACCTTATTTTCCTGATCTTGTTCCTTTAGACTACCATTTGTTTCGTAGCTTACAGAATCATTTGGAAGAAACAGCTTTTGTAACACAGGAAGAGGTTAAAACTGACATTTGTGAGTTCTTCGAATCAAAACCAAAAGAATTTTACAGTAATGGAATTAGTAAACTTGTTAATAGATGGAAGGAAGTCATAGATAATCATGGAAAATACATTGTTGAATGAATCTGTAATTAAATGTAACATTTGGTCACTTTTGGTTTTCTTTATTCAAAATTCGGACAGAACTTATGGGATGACCTGATACCTTCAGGGACTCAGGAAGGAACTTGAAGGATATACTTTATTTATGTACTAGCTTAAAAGCCGCACTCAACGCGGACTTTTACACTAGCTCCTGTCCTGAATTATGTAAGCTATTTTCCATCCTGGGAATGTATCATCTTTGGCTCCAAATGAGGTCATTGCAAAACAGTTATTGTAACTTCTGATTTGCTGGATGAAGTGTTTTCATTCAACAGGGTGCCCATCCAGAACTGATTGCAATGGCTCTAGAGGAACTGAAAGATCTTCCAGCTGTATTTTTCGTTTGTTACACCCCATCTAGTTCATCCTTGAATCTGGAAGCATAACAAAACTTATACCGAATGATCATTGATCCAATAGATATCCTTGAATGATCTGAATAGTCCCTCTCACAATTGTATTAAAATTTCAGCTCGAACAGAGTGAAAACGAAGCTGCTTTCCTTTTAGCATGATTGTGATTATCACTAACCTGTCTGGTATGTCTTTCATCAGGTGTTTCTAAAGATCTTGCTATTCTATGGTTTTCGGCATCTATTTCTCTCTTTGATAAAGTCTGGCTGTCATTCTCTGCAGTTCTTGATCTTCTCTTCTCTACTGTATCTGCTTCTCTTCTTGATGAAGTTTCACTTTCATCTGCAGTTCTTGACCTTCTCTTCCTTGCAGTACCTGCGTTTCTTCTTTGTTTGCACCTCATCTGATGTTTAAGCTGCTTTTGATCTCTGGTTTGCAGCATTTGATTCTCTCCCGGTTTGCATCTCTTCTCATGTTTCACATGCTCTTGATTTTATCTGTCTTGCAGCATTTGACTCTCTCTCTCGGCTTGTACCTCCTCTGATGTTTCAAATGCTCTTGATCTCTGGTTTGCAGCATTTGCTTCTCTCTCGGCTTGCACCTCTTCTGGTGTTTGAGCTGCTCTTGATCTCTGGTTTGCAGCATTTGCTTCTCTCGGCTTGCACCTCTTCTGATGTTTCAGATGCTCTTGATCTTATCTGTCATGCAGCATTTGATTCTCTCCCGGTTTGCACCTCTTCTCATGTTTCACATGCTCTTGATCTTATCTCTCTTGCAGCATTTGACTCTCTCCTAGTTTCTGCCTCTTCTTTTGTTTCTTCTGCTCTTCTCTCCTTTTGTCTTAGAATGCTGATCTTTGTTTTTTTTCCATGGCATTTTGAAGAAATCACATTGAATTCCTCAATTTATTTCAAGAACTTCAAAACATTACTTTAACACTTATTTGGTCTATAAGTCCAATTTCAACCGAAATTTCAATTTGGGCTGGAACTCCGATTTGGGCTGCAATTCCAATTCAGGCAGACAATTGAGTTCTTCAAATTACAAACTCTGTGGAACTTCAAAACCTCACGGCGCGAAACCTCTTACTTTAATTCCGATTCCTTGGCATTTTGAAGAAATAAAATTGATTTACTCAGTTCACAAAGTTTTGGAGATATTTTAAACTGAACTTAAAACAACAAAAAAAGTTAAATTCACAAACTTTAAACTTAATATAAATTAAAATCTTTTAAAATCAGTAATTTTTTTCAATTAAAATTTGAATTTTTAACTCTTCCCTTTTCATCCGGTCACAAATCCCAATGCTGGATGTTCAAGCACCAGATGAAGGGCATATTTTCAAACCCGGGATCATCTTGATTCCAAAAAGGTATAATATGTCTATGTAGAGTAAGTGTGGCCCGAGTTAGATGGGTTTCAGACACAAGGACGGACAGAATTTGCCATTTTTCGAACTTTTCTTTCATTTGCTCTCGTAAAGTTTGAGAGCATCTCTTCCATTGAACTGTAGGGATTTGTACGATCTCCATTCAACCTGTACATTTTTTACTTTACAAATGTGTAAGCAAACGAAAAACAAACAAGAGAAACAACACAAAAACTGTTTCTATAACAACAATCTTCAATTTACTGCATGAAATACAAAAGCAATCAAGTGTGTGATTTTTATATAGTGGGAGTTGTTCACCTTTAACCTTTATTCGAATTAGCTAAGACTAAGAAGATATATATTTATCTAGACTCACAGAAAAGATTTCAGTTCATGAAAATAATAGTAAGTTTCAAAGGAAAGAATGTTCTTTGATAAGAAGGTGTTGTAGGCTGAAATTCGGTGTGAGATTAGTTCAAAGAAACTTGTTGATTTAGAGAAAATGCAATCTTCACTTGAATATCGAAAAGGTGAATTAACTTGTCGCTTAAATTGTTCACCAAAGAGATTTGAATATGAGTGAAAGAATTCTGGAAAGCTGAGAATATAGTTCCAGAAGATTTTGGTGTAATATTTCTCGCTGGTGAATATTTACAAGATGCGAAAGTTGTAAAGTTGAATAAGTTTCTATTGTTTGTAGTTGAATAGTTAAGAGATGTACGTACGTATGTGCGCATGTGTGTATCATAGAGTCTTCCCAGACAAACGCGACCTTTCTCTGCTGGACTACATAGTTGGTATGAAAGAGAAGCAAAAAGAGGAAGAGTGAAGATTTACTACGTATTTATAACCCACGTGGTCACGTGGTAGACTTCAGAGAGCATTTCTGATTTTGGCGGAAAAATGATTTTGAATGACACGTAGGCATTGTTGCCAATTTGAACAGGTCAACCGCACGGACGTAGGTGAGAACACGATATTAGGATTAATTGACCAACGAGGAGTCAGAGAAATATTAAGGTAGGATTTTAACTCTGTGATTCACTTTTTGCACAGATTTTGTCGATTGCAGTACTGTTACGTAAGAAATGTATTGAAATATTTTTTAACCAATGGAATTAGATCACAAATAAAATATTTTTAAATTGAAGTAGGACACTAAAGAACAAAACATTCTTTTAATTTTAGACGAGACCACAAGCACTCAATATTTTTTTACCCAATAACAGACAATATTACAAACATGCCCAAAAGATTCCACAATGCAACACACACCATTTAAATCAAATTCTCTATTGGTTAGAAATTAAATCAACATATGAAATATTTGACCAATCAGAGAAAACTAAAACCTCATTTTTCTCGAGCCTACTTTCGGAAAAATATATTTTATAAAATCCCAGAGATTTCAACTTTCAGAGAACAGAAATGTGACTGTCTCTAAGCCATTCAAGACGCGGCTACATAGTTTTTTCCTTTCATCCACAGCGCGTGCTGAAAGAAACGTGTGTCAGCGTCTTCAACCGAATCAGCTCTAACAACAACAGCAGAGACGGTCAGTGAATCTTCGCTGACAATCATTTGTCAGTGAATCATCTCCAACATCAACAACAAAGACGGTCAGCTTTTCCGTGGATCATCTATGTAAAACAGCTTTTTTCTGTGAACTGCCCAAAGACTTTAATTCAACTAAAGACTATTTTAATCATTTTTGAGTTTTGACTCTTTTGAATTCATGTACATAAATTTGTAAATGATTTATTTAACAGGCATGTTTTCTTTATTCTTTATTATTATTTTATTTATGTATTTATTTTATGTAATTTTCCTATATCTTCTTACTGACCAGCTGCAGAGGAGCTCTTCTCGTAACGTCTATGACTCAACGACACATTAGGTGTAGTAGTAGTAGTCGTAGAAGAAGAAGAAGAAGAAGAAGAAGAAGAAGAAGAAGAAGAATTTCTTTTTGAAAGCATGAGCTTTTAAAGATGACAGTCAGCTTTTCTGCTAGTATGTTTTTTTTCTTCTAATCGTTTGTGTTGTGGTTTAAACTCCCTAAAAGTATATATTTTGGTATATATTCTATGTACTTTGAATGACTATGACTTTTATTTCTTCGGGAATTTAAAAATTTTTTTAAACAGCCTTTACATAAGGGTTTCATTTACAATGTAAATATAATGCTTAGCTGAACTCTTAATTTGTGTCCGTTTTTACTAAATAACGGATGTCTTTTGTTAGTTTATAATTTTATTTATTTATTTTTATTGCGATGGCCACTAAGACCTTAACTGTTCACAAATATTTTTTTATTATCTATGAATTTTCATGCCTTTTTGGGAAAGATAGTTCAACGCTTTCCTGTTGCTATCTCCGCAGTTTAGGAATTTGCGTGTATGTGTGTATGTGTGTGCTCAGTAGTGAGAGTGAGATGACTAGAACCCAAGACTCAAAATAACTGTTCAACAGCTTTTATTTGTGGTTGAAAGAGAATACAAAATAGAAGTTGCAAGACTTGAACAGGTTATGATTGTAGGGATCGAGGAAGCATCTTCTTGGGAGTCAGCTTATGGGAAGAAGCTGCTAGAGTAGAATTTACATCTCATTAATGGAATATGATGGGGATGGGTGTGGTTCGCTACAATGTGTGTATCATGACAGGTCCTAGCTGAGATTATTAGAATTGGCTGAGGAATGTAGTATGTCTGAGCATTTTCCAAGGAAATTGTGATAGAGAAGCAAGAGGCTTGTGATGTTTTGTCTGTGAAAAAGGAGTTGTAGGGTTGGAAATAATTTGTTGCCCACAAGGATGTGGAAACACTTTTAGAATCTATCGAGACTGGAAACTGAAGACCGGGCAGATGTTGCCCATATATGGCAGCAGTACTCCATTTTCAGCCTGATCTGGTTCTTGCAAAGATAGAGGATATCAGGAGGGGTTAGGTACTTATTTGGAGTGGTACAGGGAACCAGCTATTGTTTTAGTATATAGATCATATATATGAGTTTCACTTGAGGTTCGAATTGAATGCAAGTTCCAATAGGCGTTCAAGTTATGGGATCTCCTTGAGGAATCCCCTGTTAAATCACAATCAGTAAACGCTATGGGTCGGCTTGTTGATGATGGAACATCACTAGTTTGGTTTTCGAGGCATTGAATGTGACCAACCAGTTTTTCCCCACTGAAGCGTCAGGGCTAGGCCAGTGTTGTGGGGCTGTCCCCTTTTTACACAAGATGGACTCGTCCAAAGTATACTTATACTGACAGAGAGAATACCTGCTGTTGAGATACGCCGAGATACAGTCTCGACGTCTGTCGAACTATCTGCTTTGGCAGAGAGGAACCCGGACGAAGCTTTGCCGAAGGGCAAGGTTTCGTCCGGGGAGGTAGACAGGGCCTGAACCCGTCTAGGCGGGTTCAAAGGGTATATTTTTGGCCGAGCCTACGGGCTCGGAGAAACCCACTTTAAACTCGGCCTTGTGCCACATATATTCCTCGTGGGTGGAATGTTAAATAACGAGATACGTGAAGATACGTTGTGATAGTTTGAGAGATACGGAGACAGACACAGGGTGTTCTCAGAGAGTTATACAAGAGTCCATAAGAGAGAGAGAGAGAGAGATAGAGAGAGAGAGAGAGATAGAGAGAGAGAGAGAGAGAGAGAGAGAGAGAGAGAGAGTTGTACATATACTTTCTACTAACCCGCATTCCTGGACTACTAATCTTCACTTCAAGTCTGTATTCTTACGTTTAATACACTTATTTTCTATCTCAATTTCTTGCGTTGTTTATTTATTTGTGCAGGATCCCATTCCCGGAATCCACAACAATCAGAGAAGAAATCAACTGTCAAGCTCTGGTCGTCTAGAGTTTTGGAGCTGTGCCCACATACCGTTGTATTATCAGCATAGATATTCACAAATGATCGGAGTATACTCTTAGGGGAGATCATTTACGTAAAATATAAAGAGGTTTGAACCAAGAAGCGAATCTTGAAGGACACCTGTGTTAATCACATGCGACTTGTTAACAACTACCTCCAGGGACCTACCCGTTTGGATGGACCTTATAATCGAGAAGACTCTTCCAGTGATTCCATGGTGGCGAACACTATCAATGTTTTCTTTGGTGATGGGGGCTGTTGCAGGACATCCAGATTTTCGGTCATCTTCAAGACTCTTCCTTTAACCCATAAATATAGCATACCTTAAAGCTGTATTTTATAACACACACACACACACACACACACACACACATATATATATATATTATTTTTATTATAAGACATTATAATAAAAACATGTTGAAATTCTTACACAAAAGCTTTCATGTTTCAATAATTTGATTATGTTTCTTCAGGCGATGGTAAGTAATTGATGATTAAAGGATTTTTAAGAAAATTTAAAAACAAAATGTTACCTCTTTTCCGAAAGATAAAGGCGGGCGAGGGGAACATAAGGACAGA